ACAACATGCACACTTGAGAACCGATGGCAAAACCGAACTCTTCCAACTCAGAAACAACATGAACTTGTATTAAACTCAGTCTGAATCAACTGTACCACTTGCGGCTATGGCCGCCGAACACTGTCTCTACCACCAGCCTCACTCTAACTCACTCTCGCATGCACGCACGTACGAGGATCACCCTGAATGTCCACGCTGCACAGTCACACCCACTATCTATACTCTGCCTACACCAACAGCTCGGCGGCTATGGCCGCCGTCGTCTTCCTCCTCGTAGCTATGGCCGCCGGTGTCTCTCTCACTGGTTCGCTATGGCTGCTATCTTCTTCACAGCCCACTTCTTCTCCGGGCACCTGCAGTCCTCCACGCACAAGATACCAAGGCAGTTCTTCCGCATGGCACACAGGCGAATGAATGAATGGCTGGACGCTGCCTCTTTATTTATACCTCTTCGGAGGTACCCGGGCCTCCCTCAAAACGTGTGGGCCTGGGCCAAAACGTGTGGCCCAGGGAAGCTTCCAGACGTTTGGCCTTCTGGGCCAAAACGTGTGGAAACCACAGCGTGGTCCAGAACCTTCCCCACGTGCAGCCCCTACCCCTGGTACTCGCTGACTGGACTGGCCTACAGGGACCTACGACCTTCTAAAGCCTACAGACTTACAGACAGACTCTAGGCTTCAGTAGACTCAGATAGAGACTTCTAGAACAGACCTTCCTAGGCCTAACGGTAACAGACCTAACTCCTAATCTACAGACCTGGGGATCGAGTCTCACACAGATCACTGGGCCTAGGGATCGAATCTCACTCAGCACACAGGGTCGATGTACAGGGTTTGGGCATAGGTCTAGGGATCGAATCTCTGTGTCTGCAAATGTCGGGTTAATTGGGTGAAGCCGTTTCAGGAGGAGAGAGAGAGAGCGGAGAGTCTGCAGACTGTCAAAGCTTCATTCTCCTGATAAGTTGATGGACAGACACGTGGGGGGGAGGAACCCCGCGAAGAAGGGAGCAGAAACGCGAAGCGCACCCTCTTTTACTTTTGTGTGGTTTTCAACTTTTCATTCCTTTCTGCCACTTTATTTTTTTTTAATTAAAAAATTTGGACCATTTCTCGATTTATGCGTGTCATCCTTGTGCAGGGGCCGTGCAAATCTTCTCTGTATCGTTCCAATTTTAACGGATGTCCCGAAGAACCTTTTTGCCACTTTCAAACCTTGTCTTTGTTTTTCTTTTTTCTTTTTTTCCCCCTCCCCTCAAAGATGATTGAAATATGCTGACCCTTCATTCTGCCAGAAGGGAACCGAGAAATATGTGTGTCTAAAGAGCAAATCCTGTGTTTGTGACAGTATTTTGTCAGACTTTCAACAAGTCGTCAGGAGGTTGCATAGGAAGAACAAGCAAATTGTGGATGATTCTCGAACTCGTCATTGGTCCAGCTTCTGAGACATGACCACACAAAAGCTGTGAGGATGAGTTCCGGGGGCAACGTCCCACTCACATGGATTAAAAGCTCTTCCCCGCTGATGTTCGTCATCTGCGGCTGTTGTCTCTTGATTCGTGCAAGTGGGACCTAGCTCCGGGACATCTAGTCCCTTCTGGTAGGACTGATGTGCTCACCTTACCACTGTGGCCCGTTTATCTAACCAGTTCGTTGACAAACTAACACTGCCAGGTGAGTGAATATGCAAGCAAGGAATATGCACTGGAAAGAGCACTTGACAAGATGCAGAGCGAGTGGGGCGGTGTGAAGTTCGATTATTTACCATGGCGAGAAACAGGAACAGCAATCCTGCGGGGGGTTGATGATATGCAAATGATTTTAGATGACCAAATCGTGAAGACACAGTCAATGAGGGCATCACCTTTTATAGGTCCTTTTGAGGACCGCGTGAGGTTGTGGGAGTACAAGCTTGACAGAATGCAAGAAATCCTAGACGAATGGCTCAAGTGTCAACAGAGCTGGCTGTACCTGGAACCTATTTTTGGAAGTGAAGATATCATGCAACAAATGCCAGCTGAAGGGCGAAAGTTTAAAGCGGTAAGCAATGATCCACCCATTGCCGGTCAACTGACTTGCATGGTAAGCCTCATCCCTACTTTGCTATGCCCGACACACGGGCCCCTTCAGGGCCTAACATTGGTGTAAGGGGCCTAGGGTGTGAGTTTGGGGGGGGGGGTCTCTTTCTTTTTGGGTAGTCTGCATTTTTCTGAGTTCTCTTCTTTGTTGTTCTTAGTCATTTGCTGTTCTGAGTTCTATTTGTCTGTTTCAGGTTTTGTCCGCTCTCAATGTGTCTTTTCAGCATTTTGGTCCGGACCGGTAGTGCTCTGGACCAGGTGGACCTTTCAGGCCCAGTGGCTGTTTTCCAGACCTGCAGCACTTCGTTTGGGGCTGAACCACGTTTTGGGTCCAGTCCCTGTTTTGCCCTCTTGTGAGGACACCTGTGCTGGTTCAGCAGAGGAGCCTGGACATCCCGCTGTGACTCAAGGCAGGCTGTTGCAAGGCCACAACTCAGGACCAGAATTTGGACCTACATCCTGGACTGTCTATCGGCGTTACAATTGGACGGCCCAGGATGCAGACTGACGCTGTATCCAGTAGGCGCATCACTATATTTAGCTGGGCTGGTACACAGCATCTGGGAGTCGAGTCACTATGCTGCTTCATGGACGAGTTAGGCATAGAGGCCGTGGAGCTAGGAGGTTCAAGGCGGGGGCCAGGAGTATGGAGACTTGCCTGTTGACTCACCTTGGGCGCCATCGCTGGAGGATTGCCTTCAGGTCGCTCCACCTGGATCACAGCGGAAGGCAGCATCTTTGCGCTGGTTAGTACCTGGCTCTGAGAGGGAGAGGCAGAGAGGATTCTTCGTCTCTTCCCTCTGCTGTTCTTCTGTGTGTGTGTGTGTGTGTGTGTGTGTGTGTGTGTGTGCGTGTGTGTGGTTTGATGTGTGTGCTTCAATGCACCCCATGGCAAGTTACACTATGCCAGGTATGATCTCCGATGACAGGTCATCGGCACACCTCTAGCTTAGGTAACATTCGCAAGTATGGTAGATTTTATCTGTAGTGGCGAAGAACAGCATCTACTCAAATGTTGGGGGACGCAAGAAACGACAACATGTGCTGGAGGGCACCGTGGGGAAGCAAGAAACTTGCAACAACATATAGGTTGGAGGGCACGGGGGAGGTGGGAGGGCAGACAACACACAAGCACATAAGGTAGGGAAACAACAACAACCAGTGGACAAGGCAAGTACCAAAAAACATTAAGACAACACAGGTCGGAGGGCACTGGGGAGGCGGGAGGGAAGACAACACACCAGCACATAAGGCAGGGAAACAGCAACAACCAACGAAACAAGGCAAATACCAAAACCAAGAAAACTGAAAAAAATAAAGACTGACGATGATAGATTGTTTCGTCGGAGTTGCACCGACTCATGAGGAGGCTGAACCCTCGACAATCTGCGGAATCCCCGTATTTGATGGTTTGGGTCATGAACCCTTTGACCCATGTTGAAGGTAGACTGCCCCCAAGCGGGACATAGCAGCGGGCAGCAACCCTGTGAAGCACCAGGCAACACAGTAGAGGCAACACGGCTGCACAACGCCAAAAACAACTGAGGAGAACAACAAGGCACGCCGAACTCGCAGCAGGGCACCCAAGCAGTGAAGCACGAGGCAACACTACCAAGACAACCACACTGCAAGGGACGAGAGGACAAGCGGACCAGCAGCAGAGCGACCATGCTGAGGGGCACAAGGCAACCCCAACACGGCAACCAAACTACAGGGCGCTCAAGCAAAGGACCCAGAAGGCACGACTAGCGGGCGGGCGGCAAGGCAGCGAAGCAGCGAAGCACAAGGCAACACCACAACCCAGCCACACCACACAGCGAAGACAGCAGCATGCCAAGAACAACCTGCGAGGCAAGCGGAACGGGCAGCAAGGCAGTGGTAGAGCGCAGACGGGGTCGTCCACACATCCAACACGGAGCAAAGCAGCACATCACCTACTCACATCACGGGTGAACCCCACAGACTGTTGGTTCCCACCACCCACTGAGCCAGGAAGACACTCGGACGAGCATCCGTCATCACCTACAGGCAACACAGACATCCCGAACCGAGCGCCCACCTAAGAGTGCAGTTGGCACTCCAAACGAGGAACAACCGACTGTTTGGCACTATTTAAGGGTGCTCAGTTGGGCACACAGAAAAATACTTA